AGCGCAGGTGGGTAACTGTCAGCGTTTGCAGCCCTTGGTCCTGGACATCATGCAGGTGGACAGCTTCTTGGCCGGGCTTTGTTGGGCCAGCGGTTGCCGGCGGAAACGGCGCGGAACGTGTTGGTTGGGTCGGTCCGAACTTATCACCCCCGGGCGACGTGTTCCCTCGGCCTCCAGGGGGAACTCGGCGGAAACGGGGCTCGGCCCGTGGCTCAGACCTTTCGCGACAGTCATTGGATCATCGACACATTTGACAGAGTTTGAATTGGATGTCAGAAATGACTTCAAAGTAGTACCAATCGATGGATCTGTGCACTACCGCTTGATTGGATGTTTCGATGCACGTTTTGGTTCAATCTTTGCGGTGCGAGGAGGGATGCGGTGGTGGTCTGTGCGGCCACCATTGCGGCCGGGCCACCAATGCCGGGTGCTGTGCCTGGCGAACATCATAAAGTCCATCCTGTGGACTTTCATCCAGAGCACGGCTTGATCGAAGTCCATGTGGTGCCGGCAACACCGGCAGCTTCTGAGAGTGACCACAAGGAGGAGGACAAAAAAGACTCCGCGTCACGCTTGTGGTGGGCTGCCTATAATGAAGATATACTCGAAGTGGAGAAGATCCTCGAAGATCTGTCGAAAGACACGAAAGACTCAGAAGGAAAACAAGTAAAAGGAGAAATTTTGAAAATGAATTTGAAATATGTGGCGCATGAGGACAGGCTCATCGACAGGTTCCGTGAAACTTTCCCAACAGGAGTAACGGTTCTTGGGGCTGCAATGCTGGGTGGGAATGCGGAAATTGTGAAGTTGCTGCTTGAGAAAAAGGCCCTGCTTGGCATGGACTCTGCAGAGACAGAGATGCCGGAAAGCAAGACTCATTGCACATGTGAAGATTCTGATGTGGAGATTCTTTGCAAACTGCTGCGTCGGCAAGACATCACAGCAAGAGAGACTTTGAAGGCACTGCTGCTCCAGAATCCAGAAGAGCAAGCAGGGCTGGGCAAGCTGCAAAACCACATCCACAGCCTACGTCTTGGGTGTGTTTTGGCCCCACAGGACGGATTGAACGCGGTAAAGGGTGACAAAAAAAACTGGTGGAAAAATGGAGCAAAGTACTCTGTTTATTACAAAGACTTGGCCGACCGGAATGTTTTTGACACTCGGGTGGTCCAAGTGAAGCACTACATTCTGCCACTACGCCCTCAGCTTGCATGTGACGCAAAATTAATTGACACTTTGGCCCAGATTGAGAATCTGGACGTGCTTGACTTGGACGTGGTCAAAGCCATCATCTCGGTTGCGTGGCTCCAAAACATTGGAGCCATAGTCTTTGACAATTGCGTGAGCCTCTTGAATGTAGCGTTGTTGCTGTTTTTCTCCTACAATTGCCGCAATGACAATGCCAATTCTGGCCGAGTCCTGCCAATCTTTCTAGCTGTCCTGCATGCCAAAGAATGTATTGAGTGCTCTATTTTTTGGTTTTCGGCGTTTGGGGCTTATTTTCGTGAGAATGATGGTCGGCTGTCGGAACAAGCTGATATTTACAATTTTCTTGATGCCATCTATGCTGTAATTGGATTTATCGTAATTGGATGGATCGTAGTTGGACCACTGCTGGTGGAAAAGTACGTTGAAGAAGGTTGGAACAAGGCCTTGCTGGCCATTTTCTGTGGCATGGCATGGCTCAGATTACTCACCAGTCTTCGAGGATACATGTGGCTTGGGGTCAGGTTCCTGCCCATCATTAAGGCAATTTTGGATTCAGCATCCTTCTTCTTCATCACTGGCATGTGTTTGTTGGCCTCCTCACACGCCTACTACCACATGGGCCCTCGAAACCCTGATCCACTGCCGGTTTTCTTTGCGCTTGTCATCCCGTTTCGACTTGGCATTTTGGGTGATTTTCACCTATTCGAGTTTGAAGGAAATGACAATGACACAAAATATATTGAAAAGACTGGCAAGAATGGCACATTTTGGGCACCAATGGACCCCGAACCAGGCGATGACCACTTCGCCATCATGTTGATTTTCTTCATGACAAGCATCGGCATTACACTTGTGCTCATGAACATGTTCATCGCGGTGCTCACACAAAACTTAGAGGTATTCCAGGGCATGTCCCGGCAGATGTTTATCAAGTCCAGGGCTAAAATGCTGAAGGAACTGAATCAGCGTCCTTGGAACAAATGTTTGTGCTGTTGCCCTAGCAGTCGCTTGCCAGAAAAACCTATCGAAATTTACCCGGAGAATACTGGCATCCTATTTTGTATCCTGTGTCCGCTGACAGTTGTCTTTGGCTTTCAAGGCCGCATTTGGTTTTGGAGTCAATGCAAAAATACTTGGAGAACAGCAGCCGTGCTCTTGCTGTTTCCTGCGATGCTGCTTGTCTCCATCCTTTTGCTGATTTGCCGGATTGTTTTAGAACCAACTGGTCTTCAACATGAGCTGCGAGTCCTGCTTTTGGGCATTTACGGTTGGCAGCCGGATGAAAAGAATTCGCTGCAAGTCAAGGCCTACAGAGCTAAAGATTGTGTCATCCATGTCTTTGTCCCGGTCGAGCCCAGTGAAGAGCCAGCCAGTCAACGCGAGGCCTTGAGGGATTATGCGACTCTGAAGCAGGAGAAAGAAGCTCTGACACAGGAGAAAATAGTTCTGAAACAGGAGATTGCAACCCTGAAGGAGAAGAAGGAAACACAGCGGAAAGATCATCAGAAAGATGCACTTCATATGAAGGAACGCCAAAAGGAGTTAGAAGACGAATTGAAAGAGATAGAACAAGAATTAGAAGACACGAAAAACGAATTGGCAGCTGCACGAGAGCCTGATGGAAATGCTCGGAGGGAGGAGTAGCACAGAGCCTCGCCCGGATCTCGGATGTCATAAACGTTGGTTGTCTCAACGTCCCAATGTGGACCGTGAGAGAGCATCCTGCAACTTTAAAAGCTGGATTGTTGCAGGCGTTGGATGGAAAACACAGCACATTTACTGAACCAGCAAGACTTGTATGTTTTGCCACCTGATCAGCTTAGTTTTGCAGCAGATGGGTCACTGATTTCCCAGTTTTGTACAATCACGTCATGCCCCAGGCAGCGCAACATACTGGGCAGCCGGAGTCAAGGCTTCATCCCGACGCTTTGAGTGTCAGTGGGCCATCGGTTGTTATGGCATGATGAGGCTTTTAACCAGGGCATGATCATGACATATGTGATGGTACAATACAGTGCTTGCCACCTGGCATTTGTAGAGGAAGAGAAACCTTCAGGATTGCGCTAATGTAGTCCCTTGATTAATAAACCCCCCCCCCCTCAACAGCCAAGGCCTCCAAAATAATGTATAAGAAAATCAATCAGTTGATAATTAAATAAGGAATCCTTAGCTAGCTACCTCTGGAGCTACTCTGGCAATATTAAATTAAAAGGAAATAAGAATTCCTAACTTTGAAGACCTCTGGCAATATTAAATTAAAAGGAAATAAGAATTCCTCACTTTGAAGACCTCTGGCAATATTAAATTAAAAGGAAATAAGAATTCCTAACTTTGAAGACATCTGGAATATTAATCGAATCTCAAGCAAATCTCCATCCAAAAGCCTCCAAAAGCATCAAATCTCAATGGAAATCTTCAAATGTTTAATGGAAATCTCAATCCAAAAGCCTCCAAAAGCATCAAATCTCAATGGAAATCTCAAGTTTTTTAATAGAAATCTCCATCCAAAAGCCTCCAAAAGCATCAAATCTCAATGGAAATCTCCAAATGTTTAATAGAAATCTCCATCCAAAAGCCTCTAAAAGCATCAAATCTCAATGGAAATCTTCAAATTTTCAATAGACATCTCCATCCAAAAGCCTCCAAAAGCATCAAATCTCAATGGAAATCTTCAAATGTTTAATGGAAATTTCCATCAAAAGGCATCCAATCTCAATGGAAATAACGGATTTTATAAAGAAAGTGCGCACTGACTTTTGGAAACTTTTGGAAA